TTTCATCTACATTCCCCTTGGTTTCATCTACATTCCCCCTTGGTTTCATCTACATTCCCCCTTGGTTTCATCTACATTCCCCTTGGTTTCATCTACATCCCCCCTTGGTTTCATCTACATTCCCCTTGGTTTCATCTACATTCCCCCTTGGTTGCATCTACATTCCCCCTTGGTTGCATCTACATTCCCCCTTGGTTTCATCTACATTCCCCTTGGTTTCATCTACATCCCCCTTGGTTTCATCTACATCCCCCCTTGGTTTCATCTACATCCCCCCTTGGTTTCACCTACATTCCCCTTGGTTTCATCTACATTCCCCTTGGTTTCATCTACATTCCCCCTTGGTTTCATCTACATTCCCCCTTGGTTTCATCTACATTCCCTGTGTTTCATTAATTCCCTAGGTTTCATCTACATTCCCTTGGTTTCATCTTGGGTTCACATTCCCCCTTGGTTTCATCTACATTCCCCCTTGGTTTACATTCTTGGTTTCTACATTCCCCTTGGTTTCATCTACATTCCCCCTTGGTTTCATCTACATTCCCCTTGGTTTCATCTACATTCCCCCTTGGTTTCATCTACATTCCCCCTTGGTTTCATCTACATTCCCCTTGGTTTCATCTACATTCCCCCTGCTTGGTTTTGAGCTTTGAGTGGTTTCATCGACGTTCCCCTTGGTTCTGAGCCTTGAGGGTGTATTTGGAGACAAACACGCAGCCATTCATGGCAGGGATTTGCGCGATACTCACGCATCGGTGCGAAGAGGATATCCTGGGAGGGAAGAAGTTGGAAGAAGACGAAGAAGCAGAAGAAAAAGAGCATGGATAGGTTAGATAGAAAAGATAGCATAGACAAATTGCACAGATGGGGCAGATTAGATAGATTACATTAGATTAGGCTAGATTGAGTTAGACTAGATAGGTAGGTAGACAGACAGATGGACAAAGAGGCAGGTAGACTGGTAGAAAAAGATAGACAGATAGACAAATAGACAAATAAATAAATAGATGAATAGATGAATAGATGAATAGACAGAGAGGGATGCAAGAAAATGGTTCAATAAAACAAATTGCGGCCGTGTGCAAACTAGTTAGACGTGTGCGCCTTGTTTCGACAAAGGATCGCATATTCTGGGCTTGCCAGTTCATGCCTGAGCTGGACCTAGCATACTTGGGGGCTGGCACAACTTTGCTTTCAGGTGCCCAGTGGTGCAGCCTGCGTGACCAAAACGTTGGTTCTGTTTGCTTGAGCAAAAAAGGCCAGCTCCGCAAGTACAAGGCGCCATACCCACCCACCCACCCACCCACCCACCCACCTACCCACTCACCCACCCACTCACCTACCCACTCACTCACTCACTCACTTACCTACCCACCCACCCACCCAACACCCACCCACCCACCCAGCCAGCCAGCCACCCACCCACCCCATCACCATACACGGCAAGGTTTCTGCGCAGCGTTTCATGCTTCGGTCGGCGCTCAACTTGCTGAGACCTACGGCCCCCGCTTGGGAACCGCATGAACAGAGGTGTCCTTTTAGGGGAAATAGATGAATTTCCCTGGTAGATGATTAAACCACCAGGCAAACCAGGAATCGCCCTCTATTTTTCCACCAAAACAACCAAAAAGGACACCTATGCGCATGAACAATGGCGTCGCGGTTCTCTTGGGGTAATAAAGACAAGCATCCTCCACCTGGGCGCCCCGACCGATCGCCGGGCATCCGCCTGCACCCGGCTGAGAAAAGCCGGGCGAAAGACCAGGACGTGCCGTTGAGAAGTGATCCTCACAAAGAAACCTTAAAAATACTGTGGATGGACGAATTTTTCTTAGAAACCATGGGAAACCATTGTGGAATCAGAAACCAGGGTTTCTTAGGTGGTGCCTAAGAGGATTTCGTCCATCCACAGTGCGGGCGCATGGAGCCGCCCGAGCAGGAGTGTTCTTCAGGTGAATCTCATGGCGGGTTTCGGCCATCCTCAAGCACATGGGAGCCGCTAACAAGTGCAAAGGATACAACTCACAGTCCCAGCTTGTAGGTCCCAAGTACTGATCTGAGACACCTCTGTTTTGCTGAAAGCCACTCGACCGGCTCGAGTTGACACCCTGCAAGAGTTTGAGGCGCTTTGAGGATACCCTCTGCAAGGCTCGGCTGGTAGATGACGCAGCACCAAAGCTTGACTTCATCTGTCTACGTCTGTTTTCAGGGTACCCCCCTTTTTGTGGTTTTGAAGAGAGCTGGTCCAACCATAAAAAGACGAACCACCCATTTGAGTCCACGCCCTGCTCGCTGCTCACTCGGTTCGCGCTTTGGAGAAGATGGGAGGCGCGTCGTCCGCCAGTCCTGGCACCTTGGCCCAGCTTTGGCGCTCGTTGAAATCCAAGACTCCAAGCGTTTCCTCGCAAATACCCAAAGCCTTTCGAAGCTCCTGAAGGGGGTCATGCGCCTGTGAGAGTTTCAGGTTCTGAACAATGGCCACACTTTGGGAAGCGTCACAAAAATCGACACATCAGCGTTGGGTCACAAAATAATGGCCTCTTCCACATGCTCCCTTCAAAGGAGACAACCGCGAACTGGCCAGTGAAGACCGACGCTGTCAACCCACCCAGAGCGCTTGAACTTGTAACAAGGCAAACTGTTCTAGCGTGAGAGGCAACGCCGTTCAGGAATTGCCCCAAAAGTCCAGGACCCCGTACTGGTAGATTACTAAGAGGGTAGCTGGTAGCTTTGTGCGACGATTTACAGCTCCCACGTCGCAGGACCTGAACAAGCTACCGTGCGTGCACAGCAGACTTGAGACTTGAAGCGAAGGATCGATAAAATGACGGCACGTCATCCGAAACTTTGGGTAAAGGCCAGCTCGCCTGTTGTATCTCCACAGTGTTGCAGGGTCACAAAGTACCTTTAGGGTTAAGACTTGCGAAACCAGCCAACCATTGGAAAATGCTGTTTTATTTTTTTTGTGAGATGTAGAGCAAGCAACAGAGCAAGAAAATAGTGATCCCAAGTTTCGGGTGGGAAAAAAAAAGCAAGGAAAAAGTGATTTTAGAGCAAACAGTGGGCACTAAAAAAGCAAGAATGCAGCAAACAAGAGACCAGAAATAGCAAGAAAATAGCAAGACAATTGTGAAACAAAAAGCAAGAAAATTGTGATCAACCCTCGAAACCAGCAAATCTGCAAATCACAGCGGGAGATCACTATTTTCTTGCTTTTTTGGAGTGGGAATTCCCTATTTTCTTGATTTTTTTTGGAGGCGACGACCCTCGAAACCCGGAAATCTGCAAATCACAACGGGAGATCACTATTTTCTTGCTTTTTTGGAGTGGGAAATCACTATTTTCTTGTTTTTTTTTGGAGGCGACGACCCTCGAAACCCGAAAATCTGCAAATCACAACGGGAGATCACTATTTTCTTGCTTTTTTGGAGTGGGAAATCACTTTTTCCTTGCTTTTTGGGCAGGCGATGACCCTCGAAACCCGAAAATCTGCAAATCAAAGTGGGAGATCACTATTTTCTTGCTTTTTTGGAGTGGGAAATCACTTGTTCCTTGCTTTTTGGGCAGGCGATGACCCTCGAAACCCGGAAATCTGCAAATCACAACGGGAGATCACTATTTTCTTGCTTTTTTGGAATGGGAAATCCCTATTTTCTTGTGTTTTTTTTGCAGGCGACAACATCCAAAAAAGCAAGAAAATAGTGATCTCCCGCTGTGATTTGCAGATTTTCGGGTTTCGAGGGTCATCGCCTGCCCAAAAAGCAGGAAAAAGTGATTTCCAACTCCAAAAAAGCAAGAAAATAGTGATCTCCCGTTGTGATTTGCAGATTTCCGGGTTTCGAGGGTCGTCGCCTGCCCAAAAAAAACAGGAACAAGTGATTTCCCACTCCAAAAAAGCAAGAAACTAGTGATCTCCCGTTGTGATTTGCAGATTTTCGGGTTTCGAGGGTCATCGCCTCCAAAAAGCAAAATAGTGATTTCCCACTCCAAAAAAGCAAGAAAATAGTGATCTCCCGTTGTGATTTGCAGATTTCCGGTTTCGAGGGTCGTCGCTCCAAAAAAAACAAGAAAATATGGATTTCCCACTCCAAAAAAGCAAGAAAATAGTGATCTCCCGTTGTGATTTGCAGATTTTCGGGTTTCGAGGGTCGTCGCCTCCAAAAAAAACAAGAAAATAGTGATTTCCCACTCCAAAAAAGCAAGAAAATAGTGATCTCCCGTTGTGATTTGCAGATTTCGGGTTTTGAGGGTTGTCGCCAAAATAGTGATCTCCCATATAATCCCTATTTGGATCCTTGCTATTTTGAGGTGCCCAAATCACTATTTGATGACCATCTAATCACTATTTTCTTGCTTTTTTGTGTCAACTGTTGCAAGTGAATCACTTTTTTCTTGCTTTTCAGTTTGCTCTTAATTTTCAGATTGCTATTTTCTTGCTCCAACCCTCACTCCCAAATCACAAAATAAATTATTTTAACCTCCCTCAACGGTTGGCTGGACGAAAACTCTTAACTTTAGGGCCAGCCAGAGATCAACAAACAAATGAGACAGCCCAAGCATGCACGTCTGAACACCACCGCAAGAAGTAAATGCCTAGAAACGAAGAACACGCGGCAACAAAACAGCCGACACACTATCAACAGCTCTCCCGCATCCCACTCTGGTCTCCGCGCTAAAGCTCCCAGGATGTTGTCCGCCTAGCAAAGCCAGATGGCTGGAATCAGAGCCCACACACAAAGCAGTCCAGTCGGGCTATTTGGCAACGAAAATGCTGCGCCATAACTTCACCAACTGTGAGCCAGCTGCTTTTATCTTCACAACTTCACCAAGTGGGTGTGGCTCAAAATTAAACAACTGGGGTTCCATTTGACCAAGGCGCCATGTTGGTACATGTTTTTGACCCACAGCCAATTGTTGAGAATTGGGCCTACCAAGGCCCAACTGGGTGTGGGTCAAAATTAAACCACCAGAAAACCGCAGACTTTAGTCCTTGGTTCCATTTACTGGGCTTCTATTTCGAGTACCCATTTTTGACCCAGAGCCAAGCCATAGCCTTGGCCGACTTTCCAACTTCCCGCCTCTTCCTCGAGCTTCCGCCGCTTGTCTTCCGCCTCCTTGTCCTCCGCCTGAGCGCTTCGAGGCCCCGAGTTGAGGGCCTTGCGGGCTGTCTGGACTGGGCGTGCGGTTTTGCTCTTTGGATCAAGTCACGGCTCCAAACGGGTACCCCCTCAACACAACCTGGAGAAAATGTCTGCGGGAGCGCTTTGCTGCCAGTGCCAGCGAGCCGCGGAGTTTCCCAGCCAGCAAGCGACAGCTTTGCCTCATTGCCCAACCGTAGGCCAAGCCCCAGGCCGCTCTCCCCTTGTTCTCCTCCACTGGCTTGGGCCTCAAACTGCTTTTGAAAGCGCCAGCGAAAAGCGAAAGCGGGCGGTCGTATTGGAAAGCGGCAAGTCATTCCATCGCTACGAACAGAATTTGGAGAGCCAAACACGCGCCCTGTTCCTACTGAGCGACAAAAAACCAGCGCCTCGATGCGCGAGGCTGCAAAGCCCCGTGCGACAGAGCCATCCCGAACTTCGCGTTGCTTTGAAAGATGACCAAATGGCCATGGGTCAAATCCGAATCGTACTCCCAGTGAACATCAACCAATCCACTAAAATAGGAAGCCTAAAATGCGTGGTGAATTCACCTACCTTCCCCAAAATGGAGTCCCAAAACGGTTTTGACCACCACAGCCAAATGAAGAAACACGTCAGCCAGGCAAACAGATTCTGCCCCAGGCCCATGTTTTTGCTGGGTGCCTTCTTAGTGCCAAGCTTGAACCCTCAAGCTCGGCAAGCCAAAAAGTGCAGACGCCGTTTGTGCCAAACATACTTTGGATGGACAAAACTCTGTACCACCTAAGAAACCCTAGAATGATGAGTCCCCTGCAAATACCAACCTAAGAAACCCTAGAATGATGAGTCCCCTGCAGATACCAGCAAACCATGATTTCCTATGCCTTCAAAGTGGTGCAGGATCCAGATAGCCTTCCAGTAGTCTTGCCAAGAGCAAAAGGGCGCAAAGGGGGCAGAGCCAGCTGCGCGAGGTAAAGGCAGGAGCACTGGAAGAAAGAATAAAAACACTTCTTGCTACACAGCCAGGAGCAAGCGTCCGCGCCAGCGATGTCCAGTCTTCTACTGGCTCTGGCCGGAAAGAGGAACACCACCGGTTGGTTGGCAAGCTTGATATGTTGGTCAATCTTGACGCAGCAAAGGTCAGGAATATCTGCTGCAAGTTGAGAATTGCCCAACCACTTGGGCATTGATCAACAAACAGGAATCATTTGAAACCTGCAAAGGCTGTCATATACCAACAACCTTGCCCACTCTCAGGATAAGAAAATGCTTGATTGAATTGGGCGGTCAAAAATAGGTACCCAACATGGAACTCTGGTAAATGGAAACCATGTCTAAACCTGCGGTCCCCCGGCTTGATTTTGACCCATCCCCAATTCTGAACCGAGCCCGAAGCTTGGTCTTGTCCTTCTTCAAGGCCTGCGGTGCAACAAACCTTTTCATCCATGGCGTTGGTACCCCAGTTCTGTAGTGTGTTTAAAGGGAAACCAAAGGAAAACCGCTACCTCTTCGGTTTTTTTGGGGAGGGTCCCCTAAGAAAGGACGCACCCACGCACATCTATGAACACACATCCCGCCTGGTGCGGCAATCAATTTGCTTGCTGGGACAATCAGGGCCCTCCAACGGAACGTATCAACAGCATTCAGGTACTCAACCATTCCACGGATGAGTTGGTTCAGCCCAACCCGAATGATTGCTCCCCCAACACTTCCAAGCCCGAACGTACAAGAGTGCAAGACCTCTTGGTATCTTAGCTTCATATAGCCTTCCTGCAGAAGACCGCATGTTGGGTGCCGGTAAACCGCTTCCCACGACCGACTGTTTCTATTGTGGATTCACACTTCTGCTTTGGTCTCTGCCTGGTCGTTGAAAGCGCCCTCTGCAAGTAACCACTGCATAACTTCCTCATGGCCCTCATGTGCAGCAAGCTGCAGGGCTGTCTTGCCATCGCTGTCAGTCTTGTCCTTGTCAGCACCGACTTCCAACAAGAGCTTCACAACTCCTCGATGACCATTCTGTGCAGCAAGATGCAACGGAGTCGCGCCATCATTGTCGGCCTTGACCGTGTCAGCGCCGGCTTCCAACAAGCACTGCACAACTTCCTTGTGGCCCTGATGTGCAGCAAAAAGCAATGGTGTGACGCCGTCATTGCTTGCCTTGTCCTTGTCAGCACCGACTTCCAGCAAGTACTGCACTACTTCCTCGTGGCCATGATGTGCAGCAAAATGCAGCGCTGTCTTGCCATTGTTGTCAGCCTTGTTCTTGTCATCACCGCTTTCCAACAAGAACTGCACAACTTCTCGATGGCCATTCTGTGCAGCAAGGTGCAACGGTGTCGCACCATCATTGTCAGCCTTGTTCTTGTCAGCGCCGGCTTGCAACAAGCATTGCACAACTCCTTCATGGCCCTCGTGTGCAGCAATATGCAATGGTATAACGCCATCGTGGCTTGCCTTGTTCTTGTCAGCACCAACTTCCAGCAGCTGTCGCACAGCTCTTTCATGGCCCTGATGAGCAGCAAAATGCAATGGTGTCACACCATTGTTGTCAGCCTTGTCCTTGTCAGCACCGGCTTCCAACAAGCACTGCACAACTCCTTCGTGGCCATGTTGTGCAGCATTATGCAATGGTGTGAGACCGTCATTTCGCGCCTTGTTTTTGTTGGCACCAGCTTCTAACAAGCACTGCACAACTTCGCGGTGGCCGTTTGCAGAAGCACAATGCAAAGGTGTACAAAGGTCTCCGCTTTCGGCGGCATTGGGATCATGAGGTTTCTCCAACAGCTCTAGGACAAGCTGTATGTCGCCTCTTTCGGCCGCTTGCAGAAAGTCGATGAAATACTTGGGACATCCCGTTTCACCTAGTTTTGCATACGGCCGTACTATGGCTGTCAGGGACTCAGCATTCTCCCAAGGGCTCTCAGGCCCCAGGTAGCACAGACCCCTGGCCAACGCCAGCTGCCGGAAATTGTTCAAAGACAACCTTGTGGCCAAATGGCGTCGCAACGCATCAAAAAAGCACCCGCAGTCTTCGAGACTGTGTAGTTCTTCCCACCACGCAGAAAACTGCGCCGGTGTCATCACTTCGGAGCCGTCTAACAAGCGAACACATGTCATGAAGGAATTCGGCACACTTGCGCTCGAGCCGGATTTCCTCACGAACGAGCAGGCGAGCAGTAGCGGATCACAGCGTCCGAGAATTGCAAGCGCAAAAGAGATCAAGCCGTCTCTCAAACATCCGGTCCCTCCCCTTCATTCCCAAACTGCCACATACTTCGGATCAACATGTTGAAGAGGGACGCGAGACTTCATCAAAATTGCCGAAGTCGTTCACCTGCAATTCGAGACAAAGATAGAAAACATATTCCAGTTCGAAGGCAGGCCTCCACTCCACTCAAAGCAACAAAGACAAACATGGGTAAGCCCCTGCTCTCTTTCTTTGACTACTTGTCACAAAATGCCAGTGTTTTAGAAAAGATGGCAGACCTTCGGCTTTCAGCTCACCAGCCTTGTCGCCCTCTTCCAGAGTGATGCTTCTCAGCGTGGCCTCAGAAAATGCAACCAAGGAATCTACCATCGGTGCTTGGCAAGATCCAGGATTTGGCTGTGGGTCAAAACCAATGGTACGCCTGGTGAACATAAAAATAGGTGGTACATGGGTGTTCATCCGCCCAAAAATGGAGAAATAGGTTATGACCCATGGCCATTTGAGCGTAGCAAATGTGATTGCCCCATACTTGTGTGTGTCTCTTCCTGCTTGTACGATTGCCTCTGGCCCGTAACAGTAGTTACTCAAAGCTGAACAAAAGCCAACGATTACCCGCTTTAGATTTTAGATCCTATTCGTCATGCTGAGGCGAGACTTTGGGTTACATGGTCCATCTTGCCTAGCGTCAAACTTTAGCTCAAGCTGCAAAGCGGCACCCAACCGAAGCCAAGTCCGGACCCGGGCACCCGCGCTGTGGCAGGCGCTGTGTCCTCAGCAATCTTTGCCGGCGCCTGGCAAATGTCGACTCAGTGGGCTTGGTTGCGTGTGCTATCTGCCCATCTGCCCATCTGACCAGCTACCGCTTTGAGAACCATGGGATCCAATTCTTTGTTCCGGTAAATGTTCTTGTAAATGGGACACCACCCCGTAACCACCAAACCACCAATCCAAACCTAACTGGAGGGAAACTGATTCAGTACTGCCCAAAGCTCCAGTCTCCGCCTTCACCTCCACCTTCGCGGCCGGCTTCTCCTCCTCTTCCTCCTCATCGTCGCTCCGCGCAAGGTGCATCTCAGCGCGGGCTTTTTTCCGGCGGATCCAGATCTTGAAGAGATCTGTTCAGCAACGGCGAAACGTGCTCGGAATAGTTCGGACGGTTCATTTGCCAAAAAGCCACATTCCATGTGTACAAATAACAGGTCCTCTTGGTCGGCACGCCTCAAACAAATAGAAAAGCGAGGCCAAGGATGCCTCACAAAGGTTCGCCAACATCCGAGCATGGGCGCCCGACTGGCACGGGACTCTCTGTCGAGTTGAGGAAGCGCCTAGGCCACGACTCGACGGCGCAGGCTCGGCTCGCGAGCGGGGAGACGCTCAGTGGCCTGCATCAGGTTGCTTTTCATTTCAGGAGTGGTTGTTGCCTCAGTGGGGTTGCTTCATGTACTGGCTGCCTCGATAGATGTTGAACAGTCAGAGGGCATACCATGATTGCGTGTTTGTTTGCGGGATCAATCCAGTCTGGGCACTGCCGATTCAGGCAAACAACGCCCGCTTGCCGCTTGACGCTTGCCTACCACGTCGATGCCATGGGTATGGTGTAACCCTTACAATCCGTCTTGCGGTCAAAGATAGCATCTCAGTCACAATCAAAACCTGGCGTCCAAATGCTCTACCCAGGAACCGTGTAATGTTGGACCCTCTGTTCACGGCTCTTTTTGTTTCTCCAATCAGTGGAACCAGTCAGCTGGATCTTTAGAGAAAATCCTGGGGGTCTGGGAGGGACAGTACTTACTTTAGTATTGCCAATTCTACTTTCATATTGCCAAGGCTGACTCTCAGATTCCCAGTATTTACTTTGGTACTGCCAATTCTATTTTAGTATTGCCAACAACCGCTTTTCAGCAACCCCCAAAAAGGTTAGATACTAAAGAGGACCCCAAAACAGTCACATTAAAAAAAAGGATCCGGGCCTCTTGTGGGGAACCAACCCCCTTTGTGTGACTGTTTGCCCGTACTTCTTTGTAAAGAAGCTATCTTAAATTTGATGGTTTGGGGGCCACTGGCAAAATGCATTTCCTGGATCCTTTGAGCCGGAAGAGCCTGGTTAGGTGAACCGCCATATAGATTTAAAAGGCGAAGGCTTTTGTTTAAGATTTTCAGCAACCCAAAAAACAATTGGACACTAAAGGGGACCCCAAAACAGTCACATCCAGAAGGATCAAGCGGCTGTGGGCAACCCCCTTTGTGTGACTATTTCGCCCGTATTTTGCTGTAAAGAAGTCATCTTGAATTCCGTGGTTTGGTGATTACTTCAAGAAAAGGATTTCCTAATGTTGGGAACCCCAAAAAAGTCATAGGATCCTGAATTAGGAACAAACATGAACAAACTTTCTACCATAGAGGGTACTATTCCAATTGGGGCTCTAACATTCAAGGAATCAGTTATGGTTAGGACTGCCCCGTACTCGCCTTCACCTGCCCGGGTTTGGATTGCGGCTCATCTTTAATTTGTCATCAGATTGCGGCACCTTTGGCAAGGTGCCTGTGTGTGAGGAGCCCGACGTAAAAGCTCTCTCGTGTCAAATAAAGACACACACACACCTCAGTTGTTCAGTGACCCTGGAGAAAAAAGGGATCCCTTTTTTGGGAAGACCATTTTTAGTGGGGCAGCCACGAAAAAAAGGGGAAAAAGAATTGGTGCCACTGAACAACTGAGACACACAATTTTTCGAGGTTCGGAGCGACCCTGTAAATGAATCCATGTTCAGTGGTTTAACACGTGGTGTTTTGCCCAACCACGGCAGACAACTATGGTTCCAACACTTGCTCTAGGTGATGGTTCGTGTGTCGATGACCTGATTCTTGTCCGACATTCCCGAGTTTCAGCCACCTGCGGGACAAAAAGCGCTGAATACTTGCTGTCCGAGACGCTGAATACTTGCTTTGCACATTCATGCAAGGATCTTGAACTCTTGACGTTGCAATGGAAGGCCTTGTGGTAAAGGCTTCTCAAGTTTCCAGGGCCCCGCACTGCTGCTTGTCCGAGAAAATGGTGAGACCTAGGACGGAGAAATTCTTCGATTGCACGAAAACGGGGCGTATGATTGATTTCCAGATTACGGCCCTACAATTGAGGCTAACGAGTCAAAAACGACCTGCCGCAAAGAAGCAAAAGCAAGTGCCAGTTCTGCCTGTCAAGTGCTGAATGACACATGGGACCAATCCTCTCTCGCAGACAAAAGGCCATCTTCCTTGGATGCGCTGGACGGCTTCATCACGGGCCTTTCAAGCGGGAACCAAGAGGGACCACTCGCCAGCTGTGGCATTGGCTGCCCAAAATCGGTGATGACAATTGATTCAAGCATGTCCACATGGTAAAGCTGAGGATTCCCGTGTCGCCGCGCTTAAGGACAGGGCTTGCATTAAAGGCTCCATGCCCTGGGTGTGAACGCCACCGTAGCTCGCGACAGTCAGCGATGCCCAAAGCATGTGCATCCCAGGGTTGAAGATCTGATGCCGGCTGCGTCGACGCGGCCAGTTTCCCCAACATGAGAGGACGGGAAAGACCCCAAATTCATCTCCAAGAACCAGCCTCGGGCCTCCCACGTGCCATCCACTTGGCTCAGATTTAGATTCATGCGGCCCTGGGGCCCCGGCTTTCCTTCAGAATGCTCGCAAGCTTTCTTCCCACGCGGTCGGGCCTGGGATTCGATCGCTCGATCTCAGCCGCAGCTTGGCGCTCGGCGACGGATACAAGCGCTGCTGCCGGGATCCCCCCTCCTTAAGGGGGAGGCGAGTGGGGGTCCCCCAGTTCCATTTATTTAGTCTTCCCCACAAAGGGCAAATGGAACCATAAATGAAATTGCACGGGTCACTGTCAAAGAGATCCTGTGATGTACTTTGTGCATCGCGTGTCCTTCGTGGCGCTGGTCAAACGCTTGCCAAGGCGTCCTTCACAACGCACGGCATCGCCCTTTGGTCATCGAATAAAACAAGCTTCAGCCTTGCAAGTTCCAAACAGGCAAAATAAGCAGCCTTAGTCCAATATGGGTGGCAATTCGTCCGTCTTTTTGAGAGTTCCCGTTCTTGGTGTTTAAAGGAAGCCAAGAGGAGAACCGCCGTTTTGGAGGGTTCCCTAAACAAAGACACACCCAAACACATACTTATATATGTATGTATATATATACACATGTATATGTATATATATATATACGCATGTATATGTATGTATACATATATATATATATATGCACCCCCCCCATGGACCCTGGTTTTACTGCCTTTTGGGGATGGCAAATCTAGAATTTCAATATTTATATTCTCAACATGTCCAATTGTGGGTCCCCAAAGCGTGATAATTTGGAGCCCGGAGTCCTCCACAATGTCCCAGTATGATACCCTTTCCAAATAAGATGTTACTTCAACTAGAATTGGAATTTTGAATATAGTTTAGTAAGGATATAGTTTTCAAAAATGTGTTTATGTTCAATTACAAGCTTAAACAAGCAAATTCTTTCCAAATAGCAGCTACATGAAATGTAAATATACATATATATATATATATTCGGCTAAACTCCAACTAATCTATAACACAAGAAGTTAGATGGAAGCTGTTTCCCAAATATAATCCAAGTGTAAAATATAATCTAAAACACAACTCAATTTGCTTTTGATAATATCAAGTGAATAGAAACTACATCTCAAATACAATTCATATTAAATATGGCTAAACATTTAAGGGCACAAGAAAGGTCCGACATTGAACTTGTTAGACGGTGTTCCAAAGGGAAATTTCAAGGGAAGAGAGGTTCAGAATCTAAAACTATCGGGATTCTAGCTAAACCGTTGTCTTTAAAGTTCTACTTGCGCAGGAAAGTTAATTTTATCTCAAAAGGTGGAGGTAGTAGATGAGCAAATGTGGACAGGTAGTTCAAGAGGGTGGGGGACGGTGTGTGAACGTACATACATATGTATTTCTATATATATATATATACACACATACACACATATATAGTACCCCCAATGATCCTGCGCCTCCTCATAAAATACTGGAAAATACAGTATTTTTGAGCGTTGCAACTGCCTTTGTTTACCTCCTGGAAAGGGGTCAACATGAGCATAGCTGACATGAAGCTCACCAAAAACACTTGAAAGTTTGTCTAACCAATAACTTGAAAGTGTGTCCACTGGATCGCTAAGCACTTGAAAATATGCTATCGGATGGAAGATTCAAGATTGAAGATTACACGGAAATCTTTCCTGAGAATTGTCAATCCTGGCCAAACCCAAATAACATTCAAGTTCTTCTAACGCTTGAAAGTGCTTTACCACTGGATTGGGGATTCAATATTGAGGAGCCCACAAACCACCACTTTTCTGAGAATCATCCATCCTGGTCAACCCCTAAAATGTTCAAGTTGTTCTATCACCTCGAACATATTTTATCACTGGATTGAAATATTTCACGGAAGCTTTTCCGAGAACGTTATTGAACACCGAGAGTATTGGGACAACCCTGGATTTTTTTAAAACTTTTTTAAAAATTATGGGATTCAAGATTCAAGATTCAAGATTCCCAGAAAATATGTTCTCACATTCTTGAATCTTGAATCTTGAATCCCAGAATTCTTGGGAAATTTAAAAATGTCTGAGTTGTTCTTGTATTCTTGGATGCATTCAAACTCTTTCAGATTGCAGATGCTGATGTCATTGCTTTCATCACATCTGTATACATGCATGCGTATCATATACATGTATGACCCCCCCCCCCCCAATTTTGACACAAATCCAAGAAGCAAAAAGAAGCATAAAACACTGGAAAATACAGGTCAAACGCACCAAACCAGGGTCCATGGGGGGGGGTACCATATATATATATATATATGTCTACATTCTGAAGCAAATGGATGTGCACCAGGCCCCCAGCAAGCCGCCGGAGAACTTGCCTCAAGGCGCCGGCTTCTCTAGGACGCACGTAGCCCCGGCTCTTGGGGGATAGCCCCCAAGTCCAACGGTCAAACGCGGCTCTTGGCTTGGCAACCGTTGGTTTTTCAGGATCTCATTCGGCCATGAAATCCAAATCGTACCCCCAGTGAACATCAACCAATCCAACCACTAAAATAGATTGAAAAAAATGGTACCATTGGTTTTGACCCACAGCCATTCAAGATGTGGGGAAAGCCGGTTGATACAGCAGGGAAAGCGTTGCAGACAAAACCACCGCATCGCCGCCAAATTGAGAAGTAGTAGGGATGAAGGGATTGGTCCCGGCGGCTGTGTTATCAACTTCCTAAATTGATTTTCCGCAGATAGAGTTGTGTGCCATAGCCCCTTCTGGATGACAAGTTTGCATCTGCAAGCTGTGCGCTTGCTGCGGCTCCTCGGAAAAAGAATACTATCGCCAGTTTGCGCTGGCGACAGGTCTTCACCGAAAAAGACCGTGGCCGTCAGCAGTCTTTGCGTCTGAACCCGCACCCCAAGGTATTCGTTCGAGTCAATACACCATCACTCTCTCCAAGGCCCCTTGCGGTTGGTGACGATGTCATAAAGGTCCGTAGACTTTGCCTTGCCCTGCTCCACCATTGCGCACGCCTGCCAGAAAAAGAATGGGTTGGGGGGAAATGTTTCTCATACATCCAGGTGACCATGAAGGCTTGCAATCGGCACCAAATCGGAAAGAGGTGTCGAGGAAACAAATCGTGTAGCAGCCGAATAGCAACTAGCAGTCACAATCAGGGGTCAAGGACAATTGCTGGCCACTTCCTTCTGCCAAGTGCAAGCGACTACCCTTCTGCAAGTCTTCCAAATGCGGCCCATCACAACCTCACAACCCTCTCAAGCCATACAGCCATGAGCCCATGCTCCAGTACATCCACCCCACCTTGCTGAGCCACTTGGTCCGCGCTTCAGGCTTCAGGGTGATCGCTGTCTTCAGGTCCACGGTCACCTCCAAACCAGCGGGCAGCGAGCTCATTGCGTCCGAGTCGGAACCGACTTCGGAAGCCGAATGCGGTGAGTCCATGCCTTGGCAAGCTCCTTCCAGGGCTTGCTTTCCTACAGAGGGCCTTTTGGAGCTTAGGGCTCCCAAATAAGCGTGGCGTGGCACATTCATGCATTCTGTGTGCCTACTTAGAGGCTGCATGCAAAAATGATTGGCAAGGCTTGTATACTCCGCTTTTTCCCGAAACCAGCAGGTAGCACCCTCTACACAACCAGCCTTCAGTTCAGAACCTCCGAAAAAAAGAAAAGAAGAAAAAAAACGGCCAAAAAGTGCCCTTCCCAGCCTTGACCCCACAACCCCCAACTCCCCCCCCTAACCCCTGCCACCGAGAGCGCCTCGTCCGTCTTCGGCTCCGGCGCCGGGGGCTTCTTCTCAGCGCGCCGCCGCGAGACCACCTGCGGCGCAGCTCAGACGCGCCGTTGCCAACGGCTCGGACGCGGGGAAACGGAAGCGAGGCGGCGGCATCGTTAGGGAATTGGACCCTAGTTGTGTGTTTTCTCTTGTTCTTGATGGTTTCACGGCATCTTTAAGGTTTCCACCCTAGTTGTGTGTGTGTGTTTGTGTGCTTCTCTTGTTCTTGATGGCTTCATGATGTTGAGCTTGTTTGTGTTGGTGTGTATGTCTGCCTTTCTTTCCCGGGCTATCCCTGGAGGGAACTGGAACCCTGTGGTAGTTGAGGTCGTTGTTGGTCCCTGGATCTATTCCGGAGAGAGTCCAATATGCCAGTAATGGATGATTGGAGGATGGATTGTCCCTGGTGGATTGTCTTGTGGATAATCCTGTAAGCGGCCTGCAATGGCTCTTTTGTCTTCACGCTCGGATGGTCGTGATTCTGCAAAAGGGGCCCTTGAGCCAAATGTTGCGGGAGATCAATGGTCTGAAAAACAGAACACAAAACAGACACAAATTTCTTTTGATCTCCAGCACAAAGTATGAAATACTATTGGCTTCATGGCCTTTGACCGTAGCCTTGATGTGTGCCGTAGCCATGTGATTAAAAGTGCCGGATTCATCCTTTTTCTGCTTGGATGAAATGTCTTGGCCTTCGAAATGGGAAACACTATGTACTGCTTCTTTTTGGATACCTAAATGTATCAAAGGGTGATGTACAACGCTATGTACACGCGGAACGATTGTGAAACTATTGATCTCTCACTCATGGTATAGTCTTGTAGACGACAAGGATCAATCATCTGGATTGTTCGTGGTGCTGAACGTATCTTCATGGTCAGTCGGATCGACGATACCATCGGCGGCTGCTGTCGGATTGACTGCCATAGTCCCCATAATCATTCCAGGTCGAAGTGCTATAGTCCTTCCACTGCTTCTGATGCCCCCACTGCTTGTTGTAGTCCTTGTACTCCTGCGAGGTCCAGGATGATTGCATCTTCTTGATGTAATCCTGGTATCTCTCAGAGCTGCGTTTACTGGTTGCAGATTTGCTGCGGATGTAAACCATGAGAGGACTGTGGGAGTCGGAGTCCTGCGAGCCATTCATGAACATTTCATTGCTCACGTGCTTGTAGCGCTCTGCGGATGAGACCTGGTAATCGAATATGGCCTTGGTTGGATGGTTCCGCATGAATTCCAGTTGTTCATCATCCATACCGTTCATCTCGTCCTTCCGGAAATCCTGCTGGATGTTCGTTTTGCCCCATCCAAATACGATAGTCATCATCACATCTGGGAATGTTCGATCAAATCCTGATCCGCATTTCATGTACAGGTGATGACGGACAATGGATTTCAGGGCGCACGAAGTCTCCATTGCATACTCCATTCTGTCCACGAGTGGCAAATTCTTCGTTTCATTCCACAGTCTCTGATATGTCCTCATGAGGATGTTCACGAGACCGTTGGTCGGATTGTAGACGTGCTGGAGTTTGCTGTAGGTGTTCGCTGATTTGTTGGCGTCTCCGGTGATCGCATCGCATCGGTACAAGGTCACGAGCGGCATGATTTCATTCTGAAGATCTTCCTTTGCTGCTCCATGGCTAAGTGAAGGATGGATGTGGAAGACTCCAATGGTTGCGAATGGTAGATCTGCCCTCGTTATGTGGCGGTCGTCATACTCGTGGAATGACTTGTCGGATGATTTCGGGATCATGCCACGAAACTCATCACTCTGCTCGATGTGGAGAACGACGATCTCCTTGTCTCGGCCATGTCCTTGGACAATGGTGCGTGCTGGCAATCTCGATCCAATGTACTTCTTGGGTTCAGTAAACATGGATGTTCCTGTGGTTGCCAAGCAATCCGAGGTCGGAATTTCGTATTCGGGATCAGTGCAATCTCCTTTAGTTCCGAAGAAACATCTGAACATTCCGAATGTGGTTCCCCAATTCTGGCTCCTGGTGGAAATGTGTCTTGCCAGAAGTTCCACTCGTGCAGAGGGTCCGCCGCGGACAAAGCATGCGATCGGTCTGGATGACCATTGCTTGATCACGATGCCCTTGTAACCGTATCGGATGAACGTCTTGATGAGCTCCCTGGATTTCTCATCATTCGGACTGAAGAATGCGTCTGCTTCATTCAGGCATAAGATGTGTGCACTGTTCTGCATCATCATCTTGACGATCGGTCGATCCTTCATCGGCATGTTGTGCACCTCCCTGTTGTCCAGCTTTGGATTCCTTGTGAGGTTTCCATGGTTCAGGGTAAGCATGTTGATCGCTATGGATGAGGTGAACTCATGCATGTTGAGATAGTCCACGGGAGGAGTCGGGCATCAGCGATCCCAGGATATCGGCATAGGCTCGGATGATTTTCGGGTCATCATGTGAGCTTCTTCAATCCAAGCGGAAGCTTGATCGGATATCCGGATCCTGGTTGAGCTTGCTTGTACTCGTCAACGGTGGGACATTCTCCTCGATGAGGGAAGTAGAATTCTTCTTCACCGAGATTGACATCAGGATCGACATGTGCCAATGAGGCTCTCTCGCACTCTGTCAAGTTGGGATGAGCTCTTCTTGGATCTTTGTTGAACTGGTTCATGAAGCGGGTGAGGTTCTCCCTGGTCCCCGCGAGCTCTTCCTCTGCGTCCTTTTTGTTCATATCTGTTTCGAGATAGATTTCCTTGAGTTCTTGGATGAACTCATCTAGGTTCTCTGAATTGTGATATTCCACGATGACCTTCGGCTTGACGGATCTTTCCCCGGAGGGTTCCATCACTTCTCCTTCAGTGGAGTCCTGATCGGTGGAATGCCGTCTCTTCTTGGTCTCTGAGGAGTATCTTTTTCCTTGTTGTGCTTGGTGGAATTCACATAATTGAAGAAGGCATCGGCGAATTCGCGGATCTTGGTGTCGTACATCTCGTAATCTTCATGATCGAGATGCTTCTTCATGATCCACTTGTTGCTCGCCATGAGGCTGCCATCAGGTTCAAATGCTGCAACAATGTTTCTTGCCTCGATGGTTTTGTCTGTCAACGCTGTTCTCTCTTCGGAGAGGCGGATGCCATAGTCTTGGTCCTTGAGAAATGCAAGGATCAACAGTGCATCTCTTCCTGCTGGCACATGGGTCAATGCGGCTTCTGACTCATCGTCTTCGAGGATGAGCTCATCGATGCATGCCATGTGGACGCGCATTCTCCCCGAAGGGTTTGACTGGGATTTCGCAGATTTGAGCCCGTGCTCCATGATGCTGTAGAGCTGATTTCCATAGGTTGCATGGAACATGAATGTGATGGGCTTCTTCGAGAACGGCTTGATCTTTCTCTCTTCTTCCATGGATGGCGGTGCCGGCCTTCGCATTCTGTACTTGGGCTGAGCTGTGCCTTCATCTCCATGAGGCGCCTCGGATCTTGACGGATGCGGACTTGGCGGAATGGATTCCGTTGGGAGATCATGTCCGGTTCGTCGTGATGAGGCTCTTTCTGCTCAGAGTACAGGGGTCGTCCAAAGGATTGGATATCGACTTGTCGTGTGTGTCCGCTGTTGCATCTCACATAGAACTCCATCTCGGAATCAACATAGAATTCCTTGCCATCGGGCCTGAGTGCATTTTGTGCGGATCTGGTGTTGAGCTTCTCGATCCATCGATTCCTTGGAACAATTTCTCCCCGTGCCTTGCGCTCCTTATATGTCCCGTCCACGGATGGAAATACGAACGCAATTTCGAAACGTGATTTTCCATAGCTCGGAAACATAGCCATCAAGAGAAGTCCTGGCTTGTTTCCAATGAAGTTCCTGGCATGTGTGATGCAGGTCAATGCGTCATAGAGCTCGACGGATCCATCAGGACCCATTTCCACTTGTCGTTTGCATTCCTTATGGATTCCATGTCTTGGATCATGTCGAAGACATCCGGAAAACGATCTGCTCATTCTCTCAATTCGCCAGAGGGTGAGATCTGTGATCTGTTTCGCCTTGGATGGTTCCATGCGGAAGTACTTGCAAACCTGTTCGACATTCTGGACGGTCTTCTCGAGATCAATATTGCCGTTGTGGCATACCATCGGGATGATGTCGGTTCCGTAAACTTCGGATTGAGCATTGGTGTAGCAGCAGATGCTGTAGACCTTCTTGATGAAGTCCATGTATTGCTTCTCTGCATGAGGTCCTTCACCTTGGAGTGTTGGATGCCAGTAATCGTTGAATCTTGCCTTCAACCAGAATACCTTAACTCCATGTGGTCTCTCGTGCTCAGGAACGAAGTGGAAGTCCGGATTGACATCGAGGATGGTTGAGCATTCCTTGTAGTACTCGTGCACAAAACTCAGGAATTTTGAGTTTCCGAAAGGTCCTGGGTGTACGGATTCCTTCTGGAGGCTGATGTTCGTATCCGATCCATATGTTACAAACCACCGATCGTTGGATGTGAGAACAGGCCGCATCACTGGTCGCCTTGGAAGTGCAGGTCGATCACCAGGATGATTGTCGGATTCCGTCTCGTCATCCAGGGTGTGGTGCTGGCTTGACCTTGGAGACAAGCCTCAATGTCGGTGGCGGTGACTTTGGAACAAGTTTCGGATGTGGCATCGCCTTTGACAAAGGCCTTCCTGCGAGAGGATGCCCTTCTTCATCTGAATCATCGTCATCGGAATCTCGATCATAGTCAACCTGCTCCATGTTGACATTCTCGGGTTGTTGAGAGGCGGATGGATTCTCATCAGCGACTTGCTCCATGGGGCAATCGGATGTCTCATCTTCATCATCGGCTTTGGCACAGGTGCCGCATCGCCGGATCGTCCAAACATCAGGTTGAGGATGGGCATGTCAACGAGGTGATCGAGCATACAAGATTGCAAAGGTCGGATTGGTTGTAAACCGAAAGTGGCTGCGGAGGCAGACACATATTTCTTGAGATTCAAAATGGGTCAAGTGCAAACACGCGCATCACGGAATTGAGGAATTGAAAATATGCAAAACGGAAAAACTCATGCATCAGAATTCGTGG